CCTCCCTCGGCCGCCTCCTCTGTGAGACCAGCCCCAGGCCGTTGTTGTGGCTGCCCGGACGGAGGAGCCGGGGCGGAAAACCTGCCCCAGGCTCTGTACCCCACCTCGCCCGCTGTGTGTGAATGAGATGGGCTTTGCTACAGGAGCCTAAGGCTCCCACCCGCCTGTCCCCGTGGGCGCCCCTGGCCCCACTCAGCTCTCGGACCGTGGGAGACCCCCCTGGCCTCTCCCCCCCAATTGCTGCCAACCACAGAAACGCACTGGGGCTGCGCAAGAGGCTAAACCTGGCACTCATTACATGCGGCTTTTCTTCCCTTGCAGTGTCAGTTCATATCGTGGTAAGGCAGCCTATTTAAAAAGCAGAGTTTGGTTATTATGACGGCTGATCTAGGGGTAACTTTCCAAGACTGTGGCAAATCCTTCTGTCGTCTCACTCGACTCTCCTGCAGAGCCGGGCTGGAAGCTGCAGGAGCGCAAAGAGCTTGAAATGCGGCGAGCTCCATGGAGGAGCCGCAGCCCCTGCCCTGCCCCTGCCCCCCCGGCCGGGTCCCCCCGCTCCGCGTTTGCCTGTTGCAGACGTTTAACGAGCTCTCTCTTGGGCACTGAGGGCAACAAGTTGCTGGGAAAGGCGGCTTCTCCCCAGGAAAGGGAAGGGGAATTCCTCTGAAAAGAAGGCTGTTTGGGCCGTGTTTACTATCCTGACGGAGACGCAGTCAAACAAGAGGAGAAAGGGAGACGCTCTGGAGGTGAAATTCATTGTAGACAGGATTTCTGCTTTGGGAGTGCCCTTTTTAAACAACACCGGGCACCCGCCGGTCGGGGACGGCGGAGCACTGCGCCCCCCGGCCTGCTTTCTGCCGCGGGGGGCTCGAAGGGGCTGAGCGAGAAAGCGAAAAGTCTTGCAGTAATCGCCAATCTCTGAGCTGTGCTTTGTAGTCGGTCTAATAATCTTTGGCAGTTTCTGGAAGCGGGGTGAGGAATGACAAACCGGTGCCAGTAATCACAGCAACAACCGGATGGCAAACACAAGTTCACGTTCATTAGCGCTAACCACTTAATTGCTATTAATCTTTCGTAATCAGCTAAAAGTAGAATAAGCGAGCCAGACGTGATTACGTATGTCACTGAGTTATAAGCCGAATCGGTATTTATTCTCAGGGCATGAAACCCTACATAATTACGAAGAATATTTGTCGAGGCACAAGTTTCTCATCCCTTTATGTCTCTGCACTCAGCTTTACAGCGAAAACACTGCTAACATCATGAAGTCCTAATAAACGATATACTTTGTTTCTCTGGCTCTCTTTGCGTTTGTTCTCATCGCCCGTTGTGTTCCTTCTTCCAATAAACGCTACCAAATTTCCCCCCCCGACACAACATTTTTAAAAAGGCCGCTGTAAGAGAGGAACACCCGAAGAGCGGCGTCTCAGAGCTGCTGGAGCGCCGCTACATCAAAGCAAATCACGGTGCGGTAGCCCCGACGCCGGCGAGGACCCCAGCCCTGCTGAGACCTTCGCTCCAGCCAGAGCTCCGCCGTGTCCGAGGAAGCTGTGTCCTGGGCGGGTTTAGCACCAACAATTCCGGTGTAATCATGAGCCGTTTTGCGGGGAGTGTAAAAAACAGCACTGCCTCGCACCACAGGATATTATGCACTCGAATAAAAATAAAGGGCTCATGGGCCGCGGTCGGTCCGTGGTGCCGCGCGGGCGCACTTTCCGCGCGGCCTCTCTCCTCGCACTAGCTCGTGGGCGACAGCCGTCCGGGAGCGGCGCTCCGCGGGTGGGGGATCCTGCCCTTCCCCCGAGCGGGGGCAGCGGGTGCCCAGCGCTCCGCCGAGCTGCGTTACCTTTTCCATTTACATATTGCACGGGGAACTACATAACACACGAGCTGGACAGCATCATTGCAGAAAGTTACTGCAATCTTCTTCCCTCCCCCGAAAAATAAGATTTTTTTGAAGTTATCTCATTTCCTCAGATATATTTGCTATGATCTAACCGAGCTAGGAGTCTACTTAGGCTTTTAGCACGGGCTTTTAATAATTGCTGTCTACCCTGCGCCTATTCTCTTCCAGGAAAAAAAAAAAACAATTTTTTTCACCACCTTCCTTGCCAGAATTTGCCCTTGGTAACTGTATCTTTAGGAAGTTACTTCTCTTCCTCTTGTTAATATTTGCTGCAGAAAAATATTACAGTTGTCCAAGACCGTCGGGTAATGCAAGCGGCAGAGGAAACCTATTGATTAATATTTCCCCCAAACTTTTCCCCAAGCCCAATATATTCTGTTGTTAAGTTTTAAGTTGCACGAGGTTTTAATAGCAAAACAGAACAGGTTTGTTTTGTTTTTTGTTCTTCTTTAAAGTAGCCAGCTACGCTAAAGAAAAGATTTAACAGCAACACGGGGAAAATTGTTGAAGTATTTTTTCTCCAAAAGCGTGTCATGGCGTTTCTTCTCTTTATTTACTTCAGCCTTAAAAAATGCATTTCAAGTAGGAAAAAGTTTACTCGGGGCTCCCTGCCTGGCCTCCATAAAGTGCCTAGGGGCGTTTGAGCAGATGAGGGTGCTGAACTTGAGCTTGCGGGTCAGCGGGCTTTTTTTCCTGCTCTGAACCGGTGCGCTGACCCCCAGCTCGCCGGCCTGCCGCTGCTGCCAGCTAGAAGGGAATATAAGCCCCAAAGCTTTTCTGCTAGCGTTAGGCTTTATCGTGGAAATTAAAAACTGTTTGTTACAAAGTCGGCCACAAAAGACAGCACGCCAGCGTTAGCCCTGCGACGTGAGCGTGAGCGCTCGTTGGATCTCCTCTGTGTGCATTTTGGGTAGGAATTATTTTTAAAAGCTCGTGCGACTCGGGGACACGCCGGGTTCGTTTCCTCCCTCGTTTTCTCTCTGGGACGCCACAAGCACGATGCGGATGCGGAGCAGGGGGCAGACGCCCGGGCACGGGCGTTTCACTTCTCCGGCGCCCCGAGGCGGGGAGTGGGGCGCCGGGAAGGGGCGGCAGGCCGTGTGCCGGGAGCGCGGCCGCCCCGCGCC